TCTTCCTCGGAGGTCCCTTGGGAAGGGATGGGGCAGGGCTGGAGGCAGCAGAGAGCAGGTCAGCTGGTGAGGAGGTTGGGGGCGAGCATGCCCTTCCGGGGGGTGCGTCCACCTCCCAAGAGCAAGGCCTGCCCAGGGTTGGAGGGAGCCGCCCCGAGAGATCCTGCAGCCAAGAGCCCAGTGGGAGGCCACCTCCTTCCCACCTAAGCTGGGCCCGGCAAGGTTAGTGGTTCCTGGGGACAAGGGCATCAGCCAGGGTCAAGAGCAGTGGGGAGGAGGCCACCCAGAGCCAGTGCAGGCGGCCCACCATCAGCGTGGGGTGGGGGGCCACTCAGGGCTTGAGCCCCAAACAAGAAGCCCTGCCCTGGCCCAGGGGGGCCCGACCTCCAGGGCTGCCCACCCACAGTGAGAGTGGACGGTGGGGCTGGGCTGCCGTGACGGGGCCCAGACGCAGATACCCGCTGCAGGCGTCCCGGCCGTCCTCTCGGCGATGGGCACCCACATCCACTGCTGTGTCCAGGCCGGAGCCCAACTGGGATCCTTCCCAGGGCTCCTGGTGGTTCACCAGCTAAGGCAGTGGGGAACCAGCCTCTGCCTGCGGGGACAGGGAGGAGGCCCTGGGCGGGATGTGCAGGCTGAGTCCCTCCCACAGGGCTCTTGGGGGAGGGGGCCCAGCAGGGCCCCTCGCCCTCCTGTACGCAGGGTTGGAATCAGGCAAGCAGTGGGCTCGGGCGTGCCACCGCCCACCCCACCCCGGACGCTCAGGCCTCCTGGGCCTGGCTCCATCTTTCCATTTTAGAAAGTGTTTCTATTAAATATTTATCCCAGTGAGGTGGACCTTTAGCTCCAGCAGCCTGTGCCCCCAAAACAGAAACATCGGAGAAACCTGGAGGAAGGGGGTTGCTGGCAATGCCCCTGAGGCTCCTGGAGTGACCGGGCCCAGCCAAGAGTGGGGAGGGGCTCTGGGAGAGCAGCCCTGGCACAGCCTCCCCTCCGTCTTTAGCTCCTCCGCCGCCCCTCCTGCACCCTGCTGGGCCTCATCCCTTCCCGTGGGACCACAGCCCTTCCTCCTGACAGCCTTCATCCCCGCCCCGCCCCAGACCCACCCCATTAAGTTGCTTGCTGCTCCCCATCAACGTGCTTTCCAGGCTCTCCCCATCAGGCAGCCCTTCCCCCTGGAAGCCCTCCCTGACTGGTGTCAGAAGTCCTACCTGTCTCACCTTCCCTTAATAAACACCCCTGCTCCCCAACCTGTGGACACCTGAGGCCCAGGGCCCCTGGCACCCGCAGATGGATGGACGGGTGGACAGACAACCCCTCTTCACAGCGGTCCTAAGAATAGGCTCTGCCTCCTCCTGTCCCCTGCAGTGCAGGAGACCTGGGTTCGATCCCTGGGTCAGGAAGATCCCCTGGAGAAGGAAATAGCAACCCACTCCAGTGTTCTTGCCTGGAGAATTCTATGGACAGAGGAGGCTGGCGGGCTACAGTCCACGAGGTTGCAAAAATCGGACACGACTTAGTGACTAAACCACCACCTCCTGCTCCTTTCCAGGCAGAGGACCTAGCCAGGGAAATCTGGGCTTTTCACCTGAAGTGGGTGATGGGGGCCCCAGATGACCCAGGCCCCACTCCCCTGTCCAGGGTTCTCCTCCCTGACACTTCCACTTCCCCATCCCCAGGCAAACCAGCCCCAGGCTGGACCTGAAACAGAGCCCGTCTGCAAAGCAGTCACAGAGATACAGAGATGGTCAGAGTCTGAAGGACAACAATCCAGGGGGCTTCCTGGAAGAGGCAGCTCCTGGCTGGGCACGAATGGAAGCGCTTAGCCAGAGGGAAGAAGGGCATCACAGCATTCCTGCTACAGGCCCAGCCATGGTGAGCCCCAGGTGGAACAGCTGCATAGCGGGAGACAGGTGGTTTGGGGCACTGGCCCTTCCTGTCCACGCCTGGACTTTGCCCCACTTCCTGAGGGGCCTTGGGGCGGGAGCCAGGCTGTCCAGCTTGTCTCCCCACAAGAAGTGGGGGTGTCGTCAGGGACACACACATGCCATCACCAGGGGTGGCTTTCAGAGTCTCACTGAAGTGCCGGGAGGGTCCAGACCCCCACCCAGGACGACCGCCCCACCTCCTTCTCAGTGCCCGTCCGTGGGCCCCTGCCTGGGGGCACCGAGCAGCTCAGAGCCTGGGGCACAGTTGCTCTGGCCCCGTGGAGGCCACAGAGGCTCCACGCTGGCTCCAGGCTCTGCCTCGCCGCTCCGAGACTCCGTGGCCCCGTCTCCACCGGTGCAGAGAACCAGGCAAAGTCGCCCGTTTGGACGGCTCACGGGGGCAGCCCGGGGCCTCCCTGGCCACGCCTCTCTACCCCGCCTGGGCCTGAGCAGCTGTGGTCACTGCCGTTCACAGATCTGAGACTCAGCCCAGAGCCCAGAGCCTGGGGCTGGGCGGAGGCCCCAGAGGGGACGTCTGACACCGCGCAGTGCTCCCAAAGGCCCCGGGGTTGTCGTGGACCCCGCCAGGGAGAGACCACGCAGACCCCCTCAGGGTGTCACCAGCGCCTGGGGCTCTCTGGCCCTTGCAGGGGCTTCTGAGGGTGGGGGTGGGAGGGGCCACAGCCAAGCCAGGAGTTGAAGGGCAGAGGCCCAGCCTGGGAGCTGGGGCTTCCCAGGAGGCTCAGTGGTCAAGACTCCGCCTGACAATGCAGGAGCTGTAGGAGGCCTGGGTTCGATCCCTGGGTCGGGAGGATCCCCTGGAGGAGGAAATGGCAATCCACTCCAGTATTCTTGCCTGGAGAATCCCATGGACAGAGGAGCCTGGCGGGCTTCAGCCTATAGGGTTGCAAAGAGCGGGACACGACTGAGCGACAGCATGCAGGCATGTCAGTGGTCTAGCTGCCCAGGACCCAGCTCTGCCTCAGAAAGGAACCAGCCGTCCCTGGGAGAGGAAGGCGGAGAGGTGGGGGGAGCACCCCGGGTGACGTGGTTGGCGCCTGCAGAAGGCCGGTGCACCCGGGAGGAGCAGGCGGGTCCCCAGGAAGACAGTAGTGGGGCAGGGTGTGTGACTGAGTCACTCAGCCTTGTCCAACTCTTTGCGACCCCATGGACTGTAGCCCGCCAGGCTCCTCTGCCCATGGGCTTCTCCGCGCAAGGATACTGGAGCCGGTGAGTGGGTGAGTGCCACTCAGACTGGCCGGGCCCACAGCAAAGCGGGGCGGATCCCTGCGCTGGTGTGTTCCCAATACAGCCACCAGGGGGCAGCCTCCGCGCGCAGGTTGGACCTGACACAGCTCCCACCCCCTGGCTGGGGCACAGGCTCTGAGACCTGCGAGCGGCGGGAAGCTTTGGACAGCGTAGAAGGACAAGGGAGGAGGGTCTGCCCGCCTCTGGCCTGCTAGGAGGGAACTGTAGCAGGACGATGCCTACACTGAGGCCCAGCATGCATGTTCTCTGGCCTCCTCCGAACGATGGAGAAGGTCTGAGAATCTGCATGTTGGACACAACTCGCAGGCCCTCTGAGCCAAGTCCTGTTCCCTAAGAGGGTTTGGTTCTTCCGGCTGGACACAAGGAGGAACTGCCCCAGAGGCCAAAGAAGCACAGGTCAAAGTGAGAATGAGGGCCTCAGCTGGGGAGGGGCTCTCAGCACAGGCCTCTGTGAGACAGGAGGGTGGATGAGATGGCCGGAGACCCTGCAGCTTAGGAGTCTCCAGGCAGCCCGTGAGCGAGGAGGGGGCCAGTGTTGCAGGCAGAGCAGTGGTCCCATGTCCTTTGGGCCCTTCTGTCCCTGTGATGCAGTGGAGTCCCAGAGGTGTGGGCTGGGCCCACCTCAGTCAGGAGGAGGGGGTTGGGAGCTCGTCATCCTCCTGTTGGCCGTCCAGGGAGAACGGGTGGGATTCTCACCTGGGCAAGGGAAGCCCACACAGGAGGCGAGCTGGGCTTCAGTGCCAGCCAGACAAACGGACAATAGGAGGGGCCACAGCAGCTCCTGGTGCAGCTGGAGGGGTGCCCCACCCTCTCTGCATTAGCACTGCCAACAGCATCTCCACCAAGCTTGCTTCCCCAGGGAGTGGGGTTTCGCCTGTGCCGATGCAGTGTGGCCCCAGCCCCCCTTGCCGCAGCTGGCCAGGTGTCCTGGGTGTGGCCAGGCTGCGGCATGACTGACCCTGAGCTGGAGGGGCTGTCCCTGCCCCACCCCACTCTGCCCTCCATGCAGCTGAGACACCCAGGCCCTGAAACTAGACCCAGTGCAGGGACAGGCAGATGACTGAGCACCCGGCTCTCATCCTGTGGCCAGAGGCGCAGAGGGAGGCACTTTCCCCTGTCCAGCCGTGGGGGACCCTGTGTCCGAGCTCCGATCTCACCCAGGCCCCTCCCAAGCCCCAGACCTCAGCCACCACCTAGTGACCCAGCACGCAGCAGCCACACGCTGGACCCGGCCCAGCCTGGCCCCACAGTTCTGGACCGAAGCCAGGAACCTTAACTCCTGGTCAACCTAGGCTGCTCTCCCCCAAACAGATCAGAGGGCAGTCCTGGCGGCAGGTCCCCACCGTCTGGAGACTCATGGTAGTCTCACTCCACACACCCGTGCAGCCCTCCCCAGGCAGCTGCCTCCAGGGACAGCACGACGTCCCAGAGGGCTACGGCAGGGGGAAAGTGGCAGAGAGGGAGGTGCAGACAGGACAGTGAGGTTCAGGGAGGCGAGGAGCGACAGAAGAGTAGGGAAGAGTCGGCGACCCGGGGAACAAAGTGAGCAGCAGGGACAGAGAGGGGAGGCCGAAGAACAGGGACAAGTAAGAGGGGAAGAGCGGGAGCAGAGAAGCAGAGGTCTGAGCAGCCCCCGAGGCGCAGACACGCGCTCGAGACCGCGGGCCGGTCCCAGAGACGCCCCCACCCCGGCCGGCACCGCAGCCCGCCCGCACTGCGCGCCCCAGGACCCGCCCGGCGCGCGCCCGGCGGGGAGCCCACCCGCCCCGAGGGGAGCGGGCTGCAGGCGGGGAGAAGGCGCACCGCTGCCGGGGGCTCCGGGCCAGGTGGGCAGCATCACGTGGAAGCAGTCGCACATCTTGGCGGCCGGGCGGTGCGGGCCCGCGGCGGCCCGTCGCGTCCAGTCGCAGGTCCCAGCTCCGGCGCGCGGGCGGCCCGGGGGCCGGGCGAGGGCCGCACTCTGCCCCTGCAGCCCAGCGATGCAGCTGGCGGCCGGCAGGAGACTGCGGGTTATGCCGGCGCCCCCAGCCCCACCACCGCCCGGACCCCGCCCCGGCCCGCCCAGCCCGCGCGGAGCTGCTGCGGAGCGAGCGCGGGTGGGGCCGCCGTCCTCATTCAGCCCATTGGCTGCGGCCCTCCAGGCCCCACCCCTTGGCGGCCACGCCACGCCCCCGTCCGCCAGGAACCAGTCCGAGCCAGGCCCCGCCCCCAGGTTTGCCCCCACCCCCAAGTCCGGCCCTGCGGGTTTCCCACCTCCAGGCCGACACCCCGCGCCCGCCACTCTGCGGCCTAGCCCCGCCCCTAGCCTGGCCCTGCCCCGTGCCCTCAAAGGACCTTTCAGAGTGATGACTTGGGGCCTCTGCCAGCGAGGGGTCCCGGGACGGTGCGCCAGACTCTCGGACTTGACCTGCTCGCCGCAGTCTTGTCTCCCAGTCTGGGGACTGACATTGCAGTCGCACACTGGGGAGCGGGGCACCCTGGACGAGGGCCTAGGGGTAGTGGGGGTCCAGGGAGGCCTTGGCTGCAATCTGATCCCACTAGACCTGCCCTGGGGGCTCCGGGTCTGGAGTCGTGCGCTACCAGCGGTAGCAAGGTGTAACGGTGGGGGTGGGCAGGGAGTGGGCCTGGAAGACTCGGCGCAGACAGCCTAAGCTCAGATTTCAGGAGCAGGGCAGAGGGTTCTGGACCGAAGTGACCCTGGAGTGTGTGTGCAGAGTTTGGGAGTAAGAGGGCAGATGCTGGCTTACGCTGCCCAAGCCTAGGCTCAACACGGCTGGGGACAGGGGCAGCAGGACTGGATCATGGGGGCTGCAGGCAGATTACCAGGTGGCCTGGGGATGTCCCATGGGGTGCACTGCTGGAAGTCAGGAGCCCTGCAGGATGGTGGGGGCTGGACCAGGGCGGGGGTGTGATGAGGGAGAAGGATCCTTAAGCAGGCAGAGGGGACCCGGTGAGGACCAGTGGGGAGGGTGGGGAGTGTGGGGCCCACCCTGGGCCCTCACTTGGGTGGCATGTCTTGGGGCAAGGCCAGGGGGTGGGGAGGCCCAGGAAAGATGTTTCCGTGGAAGTAGGGATTCGCTGAGGTTCAGCCTGTGCAGACCCAGGAAAGGCCCCTTGGGGCATGCGGGTCTCCTGGGGTGGGGGTGTGGAGCCTGGGCCTGAGCACACCCAGGAGAGCATGGCCCCATTCCCAGGGGCTGCTCTGGCCTGGGGCCAGGGGGGCCGGGGCAGGTGACACACACGGCAACTTTTCCTGGGGCAGAAAGAGGCCAGGCTGAAACGGGAGGCCCATCCTCACAGACACACAGACTTGACACAGACACAAACACGCATAGACATACGCTTGCCACACACAGATCCTTGTAGGTGAGATAGCACACACTCACAGTGGTACCGGCACAGGTCCACTTGGATCTCTCCTCATGCACTCCAAGACGGGCACTCCCCCCACCCCCGCACACACACACACCCTTGGGGGTGCCCTCAAAGGCATGCACACATTTGGGTCCCCGTGCCGGGGACAACAGGAGCAGACACACACAGGGGCGTGCACACACAGACCACACGAGGCACTCCTGGGCTCGCACGGGGGGCACACAGCCTGCTGGGCCCAGGTGAGATGCCTCATGGGATGACTCATGCCTGGCGTTCCCGCTAGCCGGGCTGCAGCCGGGCAGCCTTCCAGCAGTGGGTCAGATGGACGCGCTCATCATTGCCGGGAAGAGGCCTTGGCAGCTTTCAGCCTCTTGAGCCTGTAGCATGGTGGGGCACTGACGTGTCCTTCAGGTGGGGACACGGGGGCTTGGGCCGCACCCCTCCTGCCCTGCTGTCTTCTCCCGAGCCAGCAGCACTCCCCGGGGGCCAGAGACCCTGCCCTGCTGTGTCCAGCTGGGAGTCAGTCACTCATGGGCACAGGGAGAGAGCTGTCTGCGTTCCTGGGTGTGTTTGGCACCTGCTTGGGCCTGTCGGGGGTCTCAGCCTGCCTGTCCTCTGTGTGTTTGAGTCTGGCCTTGGGGGTCTGGGAACAAGCAGCCATCTGCAGCCAACGTGAGCTCTGTCCCCCTGTCCCTCGGATAAGTCATGATCCTGGGACCCCGTCCAGCTGCAGTGGCCTCACCCCGCGTGACACATCCTGATGGTCCGCACACAGGGCTGTGGGGGGAGGGGGAGGCTGGAGCCTTGGGTGGGGAGGCCAGGGGGCCCCCACATTAGCAGAGGCCAGGAGGGGGGGTCTCACGTGGCCACTGAAGGAGAGCGGAGGTGGGCGCCGCAGTCCCAGTGCAACTGGGTGCCCCCTGGGAGTCCTGAATATTCACTGGAAGGACCGATGTTGAAGCTGAAGCTCCAGTACTTTGGCCACCTGCTGTGAAGAACTGACTCACTGGAAAAGATCCTGATGCGGGGAAAGATTGAGGGCAGGAAGAGAAGGGGACGAGGAGGATGCGATGGTTGGATGGCATCACCGACTCGATGGACACGAGTTTGAGCAAGCTCAGGGAGTTGGTGATGGACCGGGAAGCCTGGCGTGCTGCTGTCCATGGGGTCACAGAGTCGGACACGACTGAAGCGACTGAACTGACTGGAAATCCTGGCTGGCCAGGGCCTGGAGGAAGCTGGAGCAGGGACCCTCCCTGGGACCTCTTCTGCCCTTGGCCTTGGTGAGGGCTGAGTGGGCTTACCTTGCCCTGCTGGGACCCGGCTGTCTCTGCATCCAAGGGGGTGGCTGAGCGCTGGCTCAGGGTCCCGGATTCAGGACGAGGGTAGGCAGGGGCCCCCAGCCCAAGGGGCTGCCCCCGCTCTGCTGCCTGCTCTGAGGCAGAGGGCTGGCATCACCTGCTGTGCTCATCCCCATGTGCCACCACGGTCCCTGCACTCATCCCCATGTGCCACCACGGTCCCTGCAGGCCCACTTCACTTCTGGAAGGGTGTGGCCCCTTGGGCAGTGGACCCCACAGGGGGCAGCTTGCAGCTGTATAGAGGGAGATATCCCCCAAGTTGGCCCCAGGCAGTCAGGCTGGGCCCTGCCTCCTCCCACCTGCCCTCCACCCACCTGGGGAGGCCTTGGATGCCCCAACCTTGCCCCTGGGCCACAGAGCTGGACAGGTGGGACCTATGAGGCCCACCCGAGCCCCACCCCTGCCCTCCCTACAGCCCGGCTGCAGCTTGGCCAGGTCCCTGCCGTGGAGCCCCAGCAACCAGGAGCTCCCGCTGTCAGGCTCCGCTCCAGTCCTGTCCTGCGGTGCCCCTCTGGGCACAGGCGCCCCACCGGGGAAGGCCACAGCAGCTGGGTATGCCTCAGGAATAACTGCCCCTCCTCCCAGAGCGTGGTGATACGGGCCGACCCGCAGCTGTGCCGGCGCTCGTGAGGCCCTGCACCACTTCTGAGGGTCGCCCTACAGGGCTGGCAGTGGCCGTTGTGTGGCACTCACAAGCTCACCTCCTCCCAAGGACCACTGTGCCAGGGAACTGGGGCCACACCCCCAGCCCTGGGCCGCTGGTCTCAGACTGGATCCTGAGGTACTGGGGCTGGCAAGGCAGGACGCTGGTGGGGCTGAGGGTGAGGAGCCAGGGCTGCCGGCCAGAGCCCCCTGGGCCCCAGGTCCTCAGCAGAGCCCGCAGCCTGCCCCACCGCCTGGCCGGCTGCTCTCCGTGCCTCTCCAGGCAGGCAGGGATGTCCAGAGCATCAACGATTGATGTCTCCTTGCAGCCGCCGCAGCAGCATAATCAAAAATAGTTCTGCCGGTGTCCCTGCCCCAGCCCAGCTGGAGGGGCATAACTGCATGGTATGGGCCCTGGGACTTCCTCCACTGCCGTCTGCCCTCCCACCCAGTCCTTGCACAGAGGAGGTCGGGGAGGGCTCCGGGTCTCTAACTGCAGGCTGAGTGCCTGCTCCAGGCCTGGGGAGGGGTGTTCTCCTCAACTGACCCCAAGGACTCAGGGTGCTTCCTGGAGCCAGAGACCCTTGCCCACAGCATCAGGTGATGCTCAGAGATGCTAGGATCCTGCGGGGCTCCAGGCGGAGTAGAGTCTGGCCCCTTCTTCCTGAGGCTGGGTTGGGGGAGGCTTGGCTGGGCAATGGCAGAAGAGAAGCTCCCCCGACCCCAGTCTGCACCATTCAACAGGGCTGGGGCTCAGGGACGGAGCGAGGAGCCCGTGTGGGCTTTCTCCTGCACACGGCACCCAGCCTCCACAGCACCGTGGAGCGTCCTGGCTTCTGTCCCCCATTACTCCCACTTTCATGGGGACCTGGCCCCTCTGACCAGTGTCCACCAGCGTACAAAGCCATTTAAACTTCAACAGCTGCCTGCCCTACCCTGCCCGCCCATCTGGAGGGCTGGCCCTCAGCTCCTGCCCCAGGTTGTGCCCAGAGCCCCAGATGCTGGCCTGAGGAGTCGGGGGCCACCTGTCAGCTACTTGGGCTTCCCCCACCCACTCCTGCATCCAGGGCCGGGCACCAGTGTCAAGCTCATGCCTACTGCCTGTCTGAGCCTGGGCTCCCCCAACACAGCACCTCCTGAGCAGAGAAGTCGGGGGTCAGCCAGGTATGAGCTTCCTGTGGCTGCTGTAATAAATAAACATGCACATGCCTAGTGGCTTACACCAACTCTCATTTATGACCTACGGTTCCAAGTGTCGGCAGACTCGCGTTCCATCTAGAGGTCTGTTCTGGGGCAGATCCATGTCCTGGCCTTTTTCAGCTCCAAAGGCCATCTGCATTCCTTGGTTCATAGGCCTGCATCACTCTGACCTTTGCTTCCATCTTTCCACCTTCTCTTTCAGACTCTGACCATCCTCCCTCCCTCTGGTAAGGACCCTTGTCCATTACAACGATGTAACTGAGGACCATCTCGCCATCACGAGAGGCGCAACATTATCATGTCTGTAAAATTCCTTCTGGGGCTTCCCTGGTGACTAAACAGTCAAGAACCTGCCTGCCAATGCCGGAGACTCAGGTTCGATCCCTGGGTCGGGAAGATCCCCTGGAGAAGGAAATGGCAACCCACTCCAGTATTCTTGCCTGGGGAAATCCCACAGACAGAGGAGCCTGGCGGGCAACAGTCCACAGGGTCGCAAAGAGTCAGACACAACTTAGCAACTAAAGAACAAAGGTTCCTTGTGCTTTGTAAGGGGTCATACTCACAGGTTCTGGGGATCAGCCTCCTGGAGGCATTCATTATTCACCTACCACACCACATAATGCAGGACAACCCACCCTTGGCCCTGTGTCATGCCTGGGTCACAGGGCCATCCTCACTCTTCACATGGGGAATTGCTGAGGGTCAGAAGAGTTGGTTCCACCCCAACAAAACTTCCTACTCGGGCTTTTGTGCCTGGGCATCAGCTTCCTCAGCTGACAGGAGGCCAACAATCCTCCTACCCCTTTCCAGCTCCTGAACTGTGCAGACGGCACGGACAGTGGATGAGGGTGTCCTAGCAGTGGGTGGACAACAGGGAACAGCTTGCCCTGGGTGCTGTCGGGACAGGAGAGGGCTGGTGTCTGGTCACCTTCCTGCAGCTCACCCCGGTGTCTGCCCAGCACTGGGCAGTCTGCCTGCATCGTTCCAACACTGCATCTCTGGCCACCGTGCCCCTCAGGAAGCAGGGGAGGGGCAGATAGTCAAGGTCCAGGGTTCAGAGAATGATCTCATCTAGTCATTTTTAAAATTGAAATTTTCTGTAGCTTGGCTGAGAAGGACCAGGGAGAGAACCAGTGATTCATGCAAACTGGACAGGGCCCAGGGAGATCCCTAGGTCACAGGGTGGAGAAATCTGAGCATGGAAGTAGACCAGGAGACAGGGCGTGGATCAGGGCTTCCGCGGGGGCATGATGGTCGAGTCTGCGGAGGGCTGACTTCATGAGACTGGGTAAGATGGAGAAAGGCCCAGAATGCCTGGGGGTGAGTTGCCAGGAGGGTGAGGCTGGCTGTTAATGCCCACCTTGCCCTTGGGCCAGCGGCCGCATGAGGGTCTGTTGGCCCATGGCCCAGGCTGGCCCTGCTCTGCCTTGGGGCCGGCTGGTGACCACGCCGGGACCCTGAGGTTCCGGATTGGGCATCACACAGCTAGACACCCCCGCTGCGGCGGGGTCGCGGAGCGAGGGGCAGCCGGCTTGGGAGACTGCCGGTGCGGGAAGCGGGCGCCTGCTCCTCCCGGCCGCGCGGGGCGGCTGCAAGGGGGCGGCTGAGCGAGGGTCGCATCTAACTGAAGGACAGCCCCTTCACGCGGCGGCCGACTGGCGCACGGTGACGGGGCCCACGCAGGACGGGCCCGCTCCACCACCCAAGAGGATCCGCCGGCTCAGGGGGCGGAGTCTGGCTCCGCCGGTGCAGGGGCGGGGCCTGGCGTTGTCACGCCCGCGCGGCGCCGGCGTGCTGACGTCAGGGCGGCAGACGCCGGAAGCGGGACTGGCACTCGTCGTTGCCGGGCAACGGTCCGGCGCCGGCCTAAGGACACCCGGCATCCTGCTGCGCCGGCGGGCGGAGGCGGCGAGGCAGCTCAGGTGGGTGCGGGCCCGGGCTCCAGCGCCCTGAGTCCGCCCTTCAGGAGCCCTAGGCCAGACCCGATCGGGGTCCTCAGCGGCCGCCTCGGATCTCCGCTCCCCTCCCGGAGAGGGAACTACCCGAACCCCCGGCCCAACTCTCGGGGCCCTCTGGGCACTGCCTTCCCGCGGGCGCCCCGACTCTCCCCTACTCTGCCAGATTGGGCCTCGCAGACCCTTGCCCACGGCGACCGCAACTCGCCCACCCTGCCAGGCTGTGCTGACCCCCAGGACCTGTCTGGTCTTTAGGTCACGCCCCTGTGCTGGACCGGTCACCCAGGCGCGCGGAGGAGGAAACCGGGCAGCGGCTCCGGCTACTTTTCCTGGGTGACCAGGCAGTCTGTGTCCCTTCCACAGCGACAGTGGACTCACACCAGGCCATCGGTACTCCTGAGGAAGCCGTGGGCAGCCGCTGGGCCGTGGGCGAGCAGGTGACCCCCTCCGGCGCTGTCTGCTTGGGGCTGCTCCCGCACAGCAGTATGGATGTCTCCTGAGCGTCTTCCCATCGCGTCTGTGCGGGCCTGGGGCACCAACATGCAAGACCAGCGGGAGCTGAGGGGCACACCTGGCCAGGGGCTCCCTGTCTGCGCCTTTCTGAGTGACCTCCCAGAGCAAGCAGGCGGGGGTTCCCTCCGCCAGGTTTCTAAAGACCTCGGTGCACCTGGGAGGCAGAGCGGTGACGCTGTGGAGTGGGCGAGGCCCCACTCCACCCTTCCCCCGCTGGATGGGGAAGCCAGGATCTCTGGGGATAGCTTTGAGGGCTTGTCTACCAGCACCGCCAGGGGTCCAGACCCAGGGGAACACAGCGGCGCCTGGGGGGAGTTTGAAGGCTTTCGAGAATCCTCAGCTAGCTCTGAACAATTCTCTCAGTCCTTTGAGCTCCAGGAGAGGCCCTCAGCCTCTCAGCCGTGGAGAACAGCTTCTGCCCAAAAGGAGCACGGTTCTAGCCAGCGTCACCAGGGTGGAGTGACAGGAACCGGCGCCATCGCCTCTTCTGAGGTATTTCTAAAGTCTTGGCCATGTTGCATAGGAAGTGTTTCCTACCCTGTGGTGGGGGACTGGTCAGGGAGGGGGTCCACTTGTCTCTGGGCCTTCATCCTGGCCCCCTTCTGCTTTCCGTTCCCTCCACCTTCCCATCTGCCCACTCTCCACCAACTGGGCTGGCTGTGTTTTCCTGGGCCCAGTCCTGGGCATGTGGGGGAAGAGCATTCTGTTTGAGTCTGTAATCTCCTTACTTAGAAAACCTTGCCGGATCACATGTCAGTGTGTGTTAGTGACGGGGTGCTGGAGGCGGCCTGGAGAGCCCAGCGTGCGCCCCTCGTCCCTCCGGTCCTGCCCTGACCACCAGCGTCTCCCTTCACTGTGACTGCCTCTCACCCACTCTCTCTCTGCCGTCTCTTCCCTCGTGGTTTACCCCTAACACCAAAAGCGAAACAGAGAAGGGAGGAGAGGAAAAGGTCCGCTGGTTCTAGGGTGGACCATTTGCTTTCTAAACCCGGCAGTGTTTCCCTGGCCCTCTGACAAGATCCACTCCCCGTTCAGTTAGCTCTGCTCTAACGCTTGTTTTGAAGACAGGACTGTCTTCCAGTGCAGTTACTGTATCGGGGAACAATTTGAGCGTAATGTGAACTTTGCCGGAAACACGGGGTGAATGCAGAAAACCACACCTGCTGAGCTGAGACCCACGTGAATATACACCACACACATGCCCACCTCTCCCAGCCACCTCGGTCTGCCACACGCATCCCCGCCCCTGGGGGCTCTCCCACCTAACCCCTGACCTCAGACAACTTACCTTTCAGTACTTCACACTTCTCACAACCCACAAACCTCTCTTCCGGGAAGTGCCATTTTTACTGCAGTAGGGACAGATTTCTCAACCAATTCACACGTGCAAAACAGCACTCGCATTTTCACTGGCTGCCTGTCTTTTTCCCGTGTGTCACTGATGAAGTTTATGACTGTTGTGCCATGATCACACTTTCCCACACACCTGTTTCCATAGCACGACTCACAGTGCAGTGATTTTTAGGATCAAATATGTCATGATTCAGTAGCAGCAACGATATATAATCATCTACAAATTTCATTTGTACCAAAATTATATATTTGGAATAAGGTGACATGATGTGTGTATGTTTCCTAGCTTTGGTGTGTTTTTCTTCTTTTTCAGCCCATTGTCAGCTGTGAGGATGTTTTCAGGTCTGCTTTTCAAGAAGTACCAGTCCCACAGGCCACCGAGGGCATCTCCACCTTAGACCACTTCTTAGAAACAAGGAATGAAGAAAAATCTGGCCTTGACTCCGTGCATAAACTGTGGTAATGAACTGAAATCAGTACTCGCATGTCCGTCCAGCAGGCTGAGCTGGTGGTCTCGGGGTCATAAGGTCTTCTGCTTCGACCTCTGTGGAGAACACTGACCCTCCCGAGGTCCCACCACCTGAGGTCAAAGGGTCGAAGGGTGGCTGGCACGGGTGCCGCCCATCCTCTGAACAGCCCTGTCCAGCCCTGCCTCAGGGCCTCTCCAGCAGGTCCAGAGCAGAGTGGGCCGGGGAGGGCCAGCTCCTTGGGTCTGGGTGGGAGCGTGGTAGGTTCTGGAGGGCCCAGGGGGCTGACATGGCGGGCTCAGGCTCCTGGGGGATGGGAGCGAGTGACCCCCCAGTTCCTGGAGAGGTTCTCAGTCCACCTCAGGGCTGCTACTCCCAGGGCCAAGTCCCTGAGATCACAGGTCATAGAGGTGCTTGTCTACCGATGGCCATTTCATCAGATGGCCTTAGCAGCAAACCATACTAGCTCAAGTGAATGGTGAGGTGGGCCCAGGCCCCAGAGGGGTGGTAGAGGTGGCTGGGAGCCGGCTCCTCTGGGACCTAAAGCCGCCTCACAGGCTGACACTGCAGACAGCGCTGCGGGCGGGGCCTCCTGGGCCCTGGCAGGGGTCTGAGCCAGCCTGCCCAGCACGCTCTCCCGGGGACCAGAGCTCACTGCCTCCCCAGGCTGTGGTCCGGGCCCGCAGGCGGCGGGCGTGAGCCCGGGGCACCTGTATGCACAGGTGGGCCTGGGGGTCAGGACCTGGCCCGGCTCGGCGCTTTCACCCTGGAGCTGTTTGGGGACCAGCTGTGCCCTCCCTCCCGGAGGCCTTCACTCCCAAAGGCCGGGCCAGTCCACCGGGCAGGGCCCCAGCACCCACTCTGGCATCTGCTTCTCCGTCTGTGGGCATCTCTCTGGCACCTGGCCTGGTTCCAGGCACCTGAGATCGTCCGGGAGCAAGACAGCAGAGTAGATCTAGCCCCTGGAGCTTCTGCCCTAGGAGGAGACACGGTGGTGGAATCAGTCACTCAGGCCAGGGATGAGCTCTGTAGAGACAAAGCCAGGAGGAAGGAGTGGTGTTGGTTGAGTAGATGCTTGAGCAAATGAACAAAGAAACAGAAGCTGGGGCTCTGCGTTCGGAATGCTGGAGGTCAGGTGACCTCTGTGCCTCCCTTCTGAAGGCCTTCCAGCTTGCCCTGTAATTAAGGCAGCTCTTTTCCAGTTCTGAATCTAGAAAACTCTGGAGGGCTCTTCACAACACTGGGACCACGACAATCTCCCGATGCGTCTGGAACGAGTCCCGCAGTCGGGAACACTTCCTTCCTGTTCTTGGAGTAGACGCTGCTCAGAAGGTGGGCTGACCTGGGTAGAGAGGGGTTCCCGGAGGCCAGCCAGACCACATGACGACTTTGCCAGCCGCGCTGCGCAGCGCACCGCAGGGCCCGCATCGGGCTGGGGAGGGGGCGGGCGCACCAGCAGCCTGCTGCTGCTTCCTTGGGCTGCCTGTCTGGTGTAGCTCCTCGGGAGGGACACTGCGGGGCCAGGGTGCGCAGAGGGCGGCCCCCAGTGGATCCCAGATCGGAGCCACGTTGTCATTTTACAGGGAGATGTGCCGGAGGCCCAGGTGGAAAGGGAAGCTGGGAGGAGAAGACCCTCTAACGTTGTGTCCCTCTGGCTGACTCTGATTTGCTTCCTCAGAGCCTCTCAGCGAGCCCTGGCCGCACTCTGGGCGAGCCTGGCCTCCACGAACCGGAAGAGCTCGGCTTCCGCCTGCAGCGCTGCAGGGCCCTGATCCAGACCAAGGTGAGCCCGGGCCACTCTGCCGCTCCCCCCGCGGCTCTGAGCCAAGAGTGCCGCGGGGTCGGGCGGCAGCGCCTCTCCACTGCACGGCAGGGCCCAGGCAGGAAGAAGGGGCTCCACCCCACAGCCCCTCGCCCGGGAAAGCCTCTCCAGGAACGGGGTCTCCACCCACCCTTGCAGCAGGCGTTGGGAGGCGGACGCCCTGGCCAGCCCATCGCCTCTAGAGCCCTGAGCCCCGCCCGGAGGGACCTGTCCACCTGTGCCCCCCACCCTGCGCTGCTCAGGAGGTGGGCGTCCTGCCCCCAGGGCCAAGGCCTGCCTCGCAGGGGCTGAGAGGGGGTCATGTGGGGAGGGGCCTGAGTGGAGCTGGGGAGGAGGGCGGGGCAGTCCAGCCTGTGGACCGGACCTCGGCTCTGCAGAAACATCACAGGGCAGGAGGCAGAACCTTCCAGAGGCATGTGGCTGGGCTGTCTTAGAGCAGCAAGACCTAGGTGTCCCCAGCAGCCCTTCTCCCGCGGGGGCCCCAGCGGGGACTGGAGCACAGCGGTGGCCCGATAGGAACGTCCAGGGGCCGCGGCTGGGCGGGAGGAGGACCAGGAGGCCGGCCCGGTCAGGCCAGAGCCGCCCTCAGGCGCCGTCCCAGCCCGTCCCCTCGGGGAGAAGCTGTGGCTCTGTCCAGAGCTCCTTCGTGCTGACACCGCGAGGGAAGGCCCACGACAAGCGGCCAGGTGCCGGCGGCCGGGGCGTCCCTGAGGGCGCGTGTGCTTGCCCTGACCAGTCCCTCCCCTCTTGGCAGCTCTCGGGGACGCCGGGTGGCGGACAGGGCAGCCTGATCACCTACAGCCTCTTCCTGAAGGCCCCTGTACACGGACATGGGCAGTACATCACGATTCCAAGGAAAAAGAAGATTTTCAGTCCTCGTAGCCTAAAACTGACATTGTTTAATAGTGACATTTGCTAAAGTGGGAGAACTTTTGTGTGTTGATGCGGGATTTCACCGTTGTCTTCCCAGTCTCGTTTGGTACTGGAAACCAGAACGGTTTCGTGGAGGTGGTCCATGTCAGGGCGGACCCTCTGAGGGGGTGCATTCCTCAGCAGGGCCAGCCGCCAGGAAGGGTGCGCCCGGGTCCCCAGGCGCCCCGCCCCAGCCTGGTGGGGGAGAAGGAAGGTGGCTCTGGAGGCACCTGTGAGACCCCAGGCCCTGCGCCTGAACCACGCTGCCCGGGACCCCAGGCTGCCCTGGCACGCGGCTGGGGCTGTCACCGGGAGCAGCCGTCAGGGCCCTGGAAGGCCCCGCGTGTGCTGCTGCTGCAGCGGCCCCCGGCCCGGGCATTCACGCGGCTGGGCGTGCGGCGGGGGTGGGGGTGCCGTTTCCCCAGAGCAGGCGTGCTCCCTGCAGCAGCCACACCTGCCCGCCAGCGGGCGGGCAGCCTGGCATCAGCTGAGGCAGAGGCCCCTCCACCGAGAGAGCCCAGCAGGCGGCGCCGACTCTGTAAAACTGTATCACATGAAGCAGCCTGGGCCAGCTGTTCTTGCTGAATCGCCGGCTCTGTGGGGACCCGTGCTGGACCGAGCGGCAGCCCCGCCCGCCCTCGGGGAGGCCCTGGGAGGGGCGGCCAGCGGGGCCCGCAGGCACAGCGACCCCAGCGTCCGTGTGCCCCCAAGGCCGCTCTCGAGGCAGGGCGACCGCAGCCGGGGCGGCTCCAGACGCCAGCTCCATGGACGCGGCTGTCAGACCCCAGCAGAGGACCAGTGGGGGCTCAGTGACCAACAGGTGTCACCTGTCACACGTCATACGGCAGAGGGTGGGATTGTCACCCACACCTCAGCGCCCTCAGCCACGCTGCACACCCCTGCCTGTAGACCTGAGGCTTACCTAGGGGTGACTGATTCTGGGGGCCTGGGTGTTTGAGAGACCTGCATCTCCTTCTTTCCAGCCGGTAGGTGGGAGTCTGGAAACAGCTTTCTGCCATGCTGCTTCCACCACAGGGAGGGGACTGTACACCTGGGGTCTCCCAGGACCCCGCCAGCAGAGATGGCCTGGGCTGTGCCATCACGTCCCGACCTTCGGTTAAAGACTTGAGAACCCGACATATGCCGTCCTGCCCCCCACCCCCACCCCCGCCCCCAATCTCGGTGCCCGTGGCCTGCAGCAGCGTGAAGCGGGGCCTGGGCTCCCCGAGACGGAGGCGGGGTCACGCTGAGAGCACCAGATGCTGGTCACTAGACGGTGGTCATTAACAAGGGCCCGGCCCCGGCCTTACAGGAGAGCTCCCACAGAGGTGGGAGCCGTGAAGCAAGTGAAGCATCTACTAAGAGGGAAAAGACAGTGCCGGGCGTGGACAGGCAGGCGCGGGGCAGACTCAGACAGCCCCTGGGTCGCCCCTGTGGCCGCTCCAGCCGCTCCCGTGCCATCTCTTCATTCGGCCAGTCATCTCGGCGTGCCTGGCTCCCAGCCCACTTCCCCTGCATCTCAGGATCCTCCCGTGTGCACGCACACATCTCAGCCAAGGTGGATTTTACTGAAAGGGCGTCTAGGTAGAACGTCCTTGGCGTGACTCCCCTTTGGCCTCCAAGGAGCCTTTTCTGCACGTGGTCGGGGAGGCCTCCAGGACAGAAGCAGCAGCGTGTGGTCTGGGCGGGCCCCGCCTCCTCCCTTAGTTGCCCTGCTATTCTCGTCGTTCCCACCCACAGGGAGTGTCTCCGATCACTTTACCCTAGGGGTCCATCTGCCTCCTGCCTCACACCCAGATTCAAACTCAGACACTGCCGTGTTCCTGTTCTCACGGCAGCCCTCCCTGCCCCGCTGGCCTAGGGTCCAGCTGGGCCTCAGGCAGCTTCTCACTGGCGTCCGGACTCTGATCTCTGTTCCCCTGCCCCCCTCCACGCTCTGTTCCTTCACCAGAGATTGGCCCCTGCCTCCACTCCCCGTCTAGTTGGACATCCAGTTTGGCCCTGATTCTGCACCCTCACATCCACCCACGTGAGGAGGGGGCTTCCTGAGCTGGGAGAGACCGGCTGGCTCATGGGGAAGTGCCACCCAGTGACCCGATTGGGAGGCACAGGGTGTGGGCGGCCAGCGCTCTCACGCAGACCGGAGCAAGCCCAACCAGCTACCAAACCAGGGCTTAAATAAAGCTGCTTTAAAACCTTTAAAAATGAAAGGGAACGTGTTAGTCGCTCAGTCGTGTCTGACTCTTTGTGACCCCATGGACTGTATGTAGCCCCCCAGGCGCCTCTGTCCATGGAATTTTCCAGGCAAGAATACTGGAGCAGGTTGCCATTCCTTTCCCCAAATTTGAAAATAAATAGAAATAAACAGGGTTGAGGTTATAAAGAATACCTAGGCAGTGGAAGAGGCCCACAGCAGCTCTCGTCACCCCAGTGGCGAGTGAAGGGACTTCCAGCTCCCTTCTGTAAAATTGAGAAGACCGCTCTGACCAGCACTCTGGGGTTCCTGCCAAGTCTCCATCAGCCTCACGGAGCTGGGTTCGGACACACAGCCCCGCAGAGACCTCGGCCATCGTGTGAGGAGGAGCCTGGCTTCCCTGACGCCTCCATGCTGCAAAAAGTATGCAGAGTGACCACAGAGAGAGAGGCCAAGAGGTGCCCGAGGACCCAGCGCCGGAGTCTGCCAGCCTGGGAGCCAGCCACGTGTGAGGGGAAGCAATAGCCAGGACGACACGCGATATAACGTTTGTTACAAAACCAGATGACAGTGAAAACACAGCGTCAAAACCTGAGGGAGGCAAGGAAATCGGTGCTTGCGTCGAAATTCACAAACGCAAGGAAAGGAACTGAGATTAATCACTGCCTGACACACCTCAACACTTTACCCTGTGTTCCCTGTGAACTTTTGAGTCACCTTCTCATGTGATGATAGTCTCCTATCACTTACTGTCCTTAAAGATAACCCAGTGTATGCTTACTATGGACGGTTCAGAAGTTTCTTTCAATGTTAAAGACTAGCCATTGGTGTGAACCGCCCTCAGGGCTGGGCCCCTCGGGAATCTCTCCTCTCTGCAGCTGAGCATCTCTCCCCGAAAACCCAGCTTCCTTATCTGGAGCCCAGAACCAGCCTGGCCTGGGGGGAGACGGTCATGAGGTGGTGGGGTGAAGGCAAAAGCCTTAGGATTGCAGCCAACACACCTTTTTTGCAGAGTTTACGAACAGGTGACTGTGTGCACACAGGAACTTGAAGCTTCACCCTCCCCATTGCTAGTCCTGCACCTCCATTCAAATCCATCGCCAGCAACTAACCACTGTTCCTCCCTGGGGAACCGGACACTTCCAGGGGAATCGGTGTCCAGGCGGGCCCCATCTCAGCCTACCCAGGACTGGGCCATCAGCACCCCGAGCAGGCTCCCGAAATGCAAGTGGGCTGCTGGCAGGAGCAGAAAGGAGACTGGGGGCTCAGCCGCATCCACAGACAGGGACCCTAGAGCCAAAGCCCAAGTAACCATGGAGGCTGCCGGACAAACACTGCAGCCGCCCTGACACGGAGCGCGTGTTCCGAAGACAGAACCGCCACCAGGACACAAAGTACCAAGTCAGATGTGCTGCTTACAAACATCCACGTCAGCTACTTTCCACAAGGGAGTACTTTCAAAATCTGAGGGAGCAGCCCTCGGACGTCGAGAGCCACAGCCCGTGTCTCCCCCGCAGCTTCCCGACCTCAACCCCCAGTGCTGTCCCCACCTGCCGCCTGCCGCAGAAGCCAGGGCGGGAGAGCTGCCACTGCCCGCCCGCCACCACACCCACGTGACGCCACGCCCGCCCCACAGGCCCCGCTGGATTAGCGGGCTGAGCTGAGCGAGGCAGGAGGTCCGTCCAACAGGTAACTGACAACTCACTCCACTCCGTTAGATAACTTTTTAATAAAATGAGGTGTAATCGCTGATACTAAGCAAACAAGCCTTCTTGGGTAAGGGCTGGAGGAGGAAGAAAAAGCACAAGAAGTGGGAAACGTGGGGTGGAGTGGGGAGTAGACTCACATGTAAACCAGTGATAAAGATCCAAACGCTGTGGGCGGTCTGGGTGCCCGGGCACAGGACACAGCCCAGCCCACCGTCAATGACCCTCAAGACGGAGGAGCCACAATAAGACATGTCCAGACTCCTTCAGTCCTAGACTTAAGTTCAAGCTCAAGATTCTGTCCCAGCACCGGTTTAAAGGAGCATATGCGAATACCCTCCGACGCAGTGGTGCACAGGCGCCCTCCCCAAACACGGCAGCTCACAGCAGCCTCTGCGGGCGTGGGCCCAGCGCTCGGGGGGCCAGCAGCCGGCCAGGCAGGGGTGTTGGAGGGCAGCAGCTGTAGGAGAAGGCTTGGCTGTGCCGGGAAACCTGTGCAGGGGGTCCCTAGACACAGACCCTCGGAGGCACCACCCGAGACCTCGGGTGCAAGTGGTCTCCAGGCAGAGCGCCCCTGACTTTCAGCCCTGAAGACACTTACACATAAACAGGCATAAATAAAACCCTTCAGAACCCACACCGCAGTCCAACAGACATGTGGTTATGCAGCAGATCCGGTAAAAGCATCACATGCAAGGCCTCTGATCCTGACCTCGCTCGGACCACAGCAGGGCCTACGGGCAAGGGTCACACCCAAGTCCAGAGTGGAAATCACGACGCGTGGACACTGCAGACTCAAGACAGTGATACTCGTTGTAAAAAGAACAGTGTTCTTTAAACCTTAAAAAAATGAAATACACCGACTGCAACTGTTTAGGCTGTAAGTTTCTAATGTAGCAGCAGACCATGTTTATAGAAAAAATATACTTTTAAGAAAATAGCTAAAAAAATCTAGTGATCAAAGTATAAAAAGTTAAAAAATGTATCTTAAGACAAAATATTGCCTCAAACATATAAAACTTAATTTTAGAAAATTCACCCATCTGAAGTTGGATGAGGCCGGATGCGGCTGGCATCCTCTGGTGGGGCTGTCTCAGGGCACCGGTCAGGGCCCAGGGCGGCACGACCGACCGCGGGAAAGCCGCCGGCCCTGGGAGGGCAGGGCCGCCAGACGCTGCTCCGGGGGCTCTCCCGATCACAGAGGTGGGCCCCCGGCACCCACAACCTCGCATGCCGGCTGTTTCCGTGAGTCTCACAGATGCACCGCGCTGCCGCCGCTCAGGTCTCCACCAGGATCTCCACCACGTGGTCCAGCTCGCCCAGGTCCGCCTTGCAGCCAGTGCCAGGGGGTGGGGCGGCCACAGAGGCGAAGGACTCCAGCCCCTCCGGGCCCGACTTGGCTCCGCCCACCATGCCCGTCAGCACGGCATCCAGGTCGTAGTAGGAGGCGTCCACGTCAGAAAACAGCTCCTCCACGGCGCCAGGGCCGTGGTTCTCCAGCGTCTCAAACACCTGATCGAGAGACCTGGGGAAGCCCCCTCGGCTCTCTCCGGGGCCGGCCCTGTCCCAGGGGCCTCCTGGCACAACTCCGGGAGCCTGTGCTGCCGGGACCGTCTGCAGCGCAGAGGCCAGGTCTGCGGGGTCAGGGGTCAGGGGCGGCCCCGTCCGAGCCGAGCGGCACAGAATCTCCGTGGACACCAGGCGGTCACGCGGCGCCCGCCCCGGGGTCTGGGGCCCGGGCAGGCACCAGCTCCCGTCCTGGGTCATCTCCTCCTGGATCTGCCGGACCGTGTTGGCGATGAGGACGGAGCGGCACAGGTTGGGCTCCGCCAGCATGTGGCACAGCTGCAGCTTGACCAGTGACATGTCCAGGAGCGACTGGCGCTGCAGGGGGTCGGCGGGCGCCTCCTCCTCCGAGCACTTCCTCTTCAGCCCGCGGGCGAACATCTTGCCCTGCGGAGACAAGAGACGCTGCTGAGCCCGTTGCAGGGGTCCCGCCGATTCTGCCGCACCTTGGCTCCGACCTCAGGGGTAACACGTATCAGCGGGGTGGGGGGTAGGGCGTGGACGGCTGCGCTGCACCCGCCCCTCCTTCCATCCTCAGTGTCTGGAAGGCCCAGGGCTGGGGCGGGGTCCACCAGGGGCTGGAGCAGTCTATGGCTCTGAGTGGACACCACACTGCACCACTGGTTGAAAATGCTGGTTCTTGGGCCTCACCTGGACCGAACACAGCCAAGCTGCTGCACCTCTGCTCTCAGAGGCAGAAAAACGAGGAAGCTGCCCTTCTGAAAAGGCTCTAAGTTAGGAGGCCCCAGGGGACGTTAAAGATGGAGCAGAGAGCAGCCAGGGCCCGTGTCCCCCACAAGCCCCCTGTAGGGTCCCTCCTTCCAGGAACAAAGTGACGCTGTAATGTACAAACCCTCTCTCGAGTTCATAAAGTGACTCAGCATTTTTATTTCGAGAAATCCACCTGAGTTACCCATCCAGAGCTAACGCGCCCTTGCCATCAGCCCCACCTTATGCACAAAGGCCCCTGTCCTCCAAGTCTCCTGTCGACATCGCAGCTCCCACCTCCTGTGCATTTAACAGGTAAAGACCTTTTTAAAAGCATGTGACTTCTTGGGTACTTATCCCAGAGAAATGAAAGCCAATGTTCATGTGAAAACACGCACAAGAAATGTTCACAGCAACTCCACTCACGACAACCCCAAGCTGGGGAGCAAGCCCTTCGGGGAGGGGGCGCTACCGCTCAGATGCCACCACGCAGAGGACTGCCCCGCGCTGCGGACTCGGACGGGCCTCGAGGGGGTCACGTGGCACAAGAAAGCTCATCTCAGGTGACCCAGGGCCGGCCCCCTCCGCAAGGATCCTACCATTCAGAGGGGGCTCCCTGGGGCCAGGACAGCTCACGTGGGGACCTCAGAGGTGCTGCATGAGCCCCAACTGCTTAGAACCACACGCGGGCACACGACACTCAGACACACGCACGCACGACCCCACCAGCGCCGAGGCTGCTCGGAGGCCAGTTTCCTGCAAGGGCTGCTGGGCCAGGCACCGCACGCGGACACAGACACCGGGAGGCAGGGAGGCAAGGATGCCCCTCCAGAACACTTCTCTAAAACTTCCTGTGGACCTGCAACTACTCCAAAACAGAAAGGGCAAAAACTAAGCACCCAGGACCTCCCTGGTGGCCCAGCGGCTGAGACCCTGAGCTCTGCGTGCAGGGGGCTCAAGTTTGATCCCCAGTCAGGGAACTAGACCCCGCATGCCTTGACTGGAAGATCTCACATGCCACAAGGAAGATCAAAGATCCCGACTACTGCAACAAAGACCCAGCGCAGCCAAAAAAAACCCCTACAAAAACGAAGTGACCACAGCACATCCCTCACAAGATGTTTCCCCAGAACAGCAAACAGGTCTAACTCATCAGGATGACCCGGAAGCCAAGCCCATCACGGCAGCCTGCACATGCCCACTCATCAACAGCTTCAGCTCACCACCAGAACTCAGGAAAAGTATCTCAGTGACTTCCAGTAATAAAGGATTCAAGTGTTTTCTCTTAGCTACAAATTCAACTTTTACAGTCTTTCTTCCACAGTTACTTGTGTAAAAGTCACGGGCTTAAGATTTCTAAGCATACTGAAAGTTAATATAAATTATGTCACACGATATCCGATCCATCAGTTCACGGCAAACAGATGGGGAAACAGTGGCTGAATTTTTGGGGGCTCCAAAATCACTGCAGATGGTGATTGCAGCCATGAAATTAAAAGACGCTTACTCCTTGGAAGGAAAAGTTATGACTAACCTAGACAGCATATTAAAAAGCAGAGACATTACTTTGCCAACAAAGGTCTGTCTAGTCAGCTATGGTTTTTCTAGTGGTCATGTATGGATGTGAGAGTTGGACTATAAAGAAAGCTGAGTGCCGAAGAATTGATGCTTTTGAACTGTGGTGTCGGAGAAGACTCTTGAGAGTCCCTTAGACTGCAAGGAGATCCAACCAGTCCATCCTAAAGCACATCAGTCCTGGGTGTTCATCAGAAGGACTGATGTTGAAGCTGAAACTCCCAATACTTTGGCCACCTGATGTGAAGAGCTGACTCATCTGAAAAAGACCCTGATGCTGGGAAAGATTGAGGGCAGGAGGAGAAGGGGACAACAGAGGATGAGATGGTTGGATGCCATCACCGACTCAATGGACATGGCTTTGGGTAGACTCCAGTAGTTGGTGATGGACAGGGAGGCCTGGCGTGCTGCAGTTCATGGGGGTCTCAAAGCGTCGGACACAACTGAGCAAATGAACTGAACTGAACTGATAAAGAGACACCCTGTTCAGGAAAAACACTCGAGCTTCAAGGGTTGCTCTCTCTGCGGTAACGAATCACCTTGAGCGTCTTTCCAGCTAATCTCAAATCCTCACTCTGCACAACCACTGACTTAACCTAGGGCCCTGGGGATTTCCCGGTGTGTGTCCAGGGCTTAGAACTCTCAGCTCTCACTGCTGAGGGCCCAGGTCCCATCCCTGGCTGGGGAACTAACCTCCTGCAAGCTGCACAGCTTGGACAGGAAAATAAAGGTAATGTAGAGCCTAAACAGAACTCCCTCAAATAACGCGATTAAGCTCAACTTCAGCAGCAGAGGAAGTCGGGCCGCCCTCCCACAGGCCCCGTGCAGCTCAGGCCGAGGGCAGGTCAGCGGCCACTTGGGTCAGCGGGGATGGGTCTCAGACCACAGCCAGGAGGCTTCACAGGGCACCTCAAGATACCACCTCCCTTTCCTCAAGGGGTCCTCAGAACGGCCAGCGCTTGAATTCATGACCCGGGGGAGCCCCCCGCTCCAGGCACTAAAATCAGGGCAGCGACAGCTCGGTGCCCTCAGCATGGGGGCAGCACTGGCAGGAAAGGCCAGAGGGCAGCCTTCCCGCTGTCTGCCGAGACCGAACACACAGCGAGGACACTCAGCTGCCGCCACGGGAAGTAGCCCGGGACACAGCCCGCTCCCACCACCCGACAGGCGGACAGCAGATTTCTGTCAGACTGCCCAGGACGCCCGCCGCCCTCCCCAGCCCAGGCTCCGTCAGTAGCCCAGGCTTCCTGGTTTTTGGTCTCACTCCCCACAGAGGACCAGCTGGAGAAAGCTGCGCAGGACATGCCCACGGCCAGCACACTGGCCAATCATCCGGTCCCCAGCCCCCTCAGCCCCCAGCCCCTCGCTGGGAAGCACCCCCACGCCTCTGTTGCCCTCACCCCTGCCCAGCCCGGTGTGCTGGGGGCAGCCCCGCGGCGGCTCGGAAGACAGCACTGCATTCATTGCGTGGGGCCTGGTTCTCGTCCGTGGTCCCTGTGGGTAATGCGGGGGAGAAGCCGAAGCACAGGGCAAAGATGCTCGGCAGCCAGTTGTCAGGCCGTCTTCCTAGCGTTTCCAAGGCACGTTCTCCTGGGCGCATCCGCCTCTTGGGACACCCTCCTTTCCACGCTCATCACACCTTCCCTGTTACTCGGCACTTTACTGCCACTTCTGACAGCCACGTGTTTGTCACAACATAGAACACCCTGATGGTCCTGCTGCTCTCTCCAGGCTTCATGTCCCTGGCCTTCCAGGGGGCAGATGAGGCGCCATCAGCTCCAGCACTGACTCGGCGCATCGCGGGAGGAGCAGCTGGGATCCTGCCAAGCTGCCCTCAAGGAAGGAGAGCCCCTGCCCCCTCCGCATCTCCCCCGCGCTGCCGAGTCTCCCACGCCTCACCGACCTCCCTGCAGCAGCCAGAACACTCCCCCCAACCCCCCGTCCCCCCAGCGGATGGAATGTCCCGTAAAGTTCCAAGTGAGCTAGTGAATGGGTGAAGTGTGCTGTACCCGAGGACAGGGTACTATGCAGTGAGAAAACTCCACAGACAGATGCAAGGATACTCCTCGGTGGAGCGAAACACCCTGAGGAGCGAGGCAAGGACGGAAACACAAGGACTGCGCTCCCGGTGCGCAAGAACTCGCAGAGGGGGAGAGGGAGCCCAAGCTGTGGCCACTGAGGAGCTGGGAGTGGCAGGGACTCCCTGGGACGGCGGGAACACAGCTCCTTCAGATGGGAGCACGGGTCAGGGCGGAGGCATCTGTCGGAATTCACTGACCTGCACAGCTAACATCTGTGTGACTGCACTAAATTACACCTTCATCAGAAACAAAAGTGCGTCAGTAAACAAGGTGATGCGGCGGCTACCAGGATAAACCTAAACCACCAGCTACTGCCTCCCTGCACCCCGATGGGCGTGCCAGGACAGAGCTGGCCTAAATTACTCCTTTCAAACACTCCAAAGCCTAAGCAACTGTTAATTTGTGTTACGCTCAACCCAGGAAGATGTTGGCAGACTTACAACTACAGAAGGGAGCAGCCCTTGGACAGTGCCCTATCCCTGAGGATGTGTCAGAGGGTGGGGTCAGGGTGACCCCAGAAAGTGGCCTGCGAGGGTCCCCTCCTCAGACATCTGTGTTTGGGACCAAGTCTGAACAGAGGACGGTCCTGAGGGACCCTGACAGATGCCGGGGCAGAGGAGGGGACGCAGACCCCCAGCCTGCCTAGCGGAGCCCCTGCTCTGCCCAGACTGTGGTCGGAGGGCGCTGAACTCCTAACACGGTGCACACTAGGCCCCAGCCTCCCAGGCTGTCCTAACTGCAGAGCCTGACTCACCAATGAGTGCTGAGCAAAAAAATGTGGGGCATTACCCACCTCTGCAATCGGTGGGAAGGTCTTGCCAAGGAGCTGGTTAAGCCCCGAGGCCCCAGTCCTCGTGCCACCCACCCAAAACCCCCAACCTCCCCGGGCAGCCACCTGCCAGAAGCACCCCCATCCCCACTCTACAGCACGGCCCTCAGGCCTCCTCCGGACCAGCGCTCCACCAGAGGAAAACGAGAGGGAGGGACAGGCCTCGAGTTCTGGGTGGCGGTGGGCCAGGGAGTGCCCCGCCCACCCACTGGGGCACCCTGCCAGGCACAGCCAGGTCCCCGTGCCCGAGCAGCTCACACAGTGGCCCCCACCGAGAGCCGGTGGGAGATGCAGACCGCTGACTCAGGAGGAGGGCCAGGAAGAGACGGTCACCATGGCCCTCAGCCCTGGGCAAGCACTCACCCGTGTGAGCCTCAGGTATTTATGGCAAATCAACATCAACAGTCCCAGTGCTGTCTCACTATCAGACTGGCTTTGAAATACTCACCAAAGATGCAGCAGGCGAGACAAAGTCTTAAGACTGCTGCCTCTGAGCTGGTGTGGTAGGGTCACCCTCCACTACTGCCTCTCTGGAGTTTTCATAAGCTAGCACTAAGAAGTCGATTGCAATTATCTTTTTTTGAGGGGGGCAGCATCAGGGGACCTGTGGGATCTTAGTTCCCCACCAGGGCTCGAAACCCGGGCCCCTGGCAGTGAAAGCACGGAGTCTTAACCACCTGACTGCCAGGGAACTCCCTCAAGTAACTTTTGTTACTTGGAATAAAATACACAAGCTTTCTCTGCCTCAGAATATGTTCTAATAGCAAGCTTGAGGGAAACTTCCAGCCTTTTCCCAAGATAAAAGCTGCCGTCTTCTCTCTCTCTCAAAAGAAAGTCATAACTTTTTTTCATTCTGAATTTCAATTTTAACTATAAAACATGGTGGAACTTGAAAATAAAGAGCAACTGTATGTAGGAAGTTCATACAATATTTAACTTTGTAAGAGGACAGTATCTTTCCTGGCTCTTTTCAACAGAATGGTTAACTCTGTGAGGTTGTCCTGTGCCAGCCACACAGGGCCCCCAAAGAGGAATCAGGGTGAGTTTCCAACAGAGGGAAACCTGCTATTTGGACCACAGCCTCTCCCAGCAGTTACCTGGCGGATGCTCTTCCTGGTCATCCTGTTTTGGGGACAATCAGCTTTTGAAATCGCAGAGCAGCGGGCTTGCCTCTGGAAGCGAGTCTGGTAATTTTCCTAGCCCGGCGACCAAGGCAGGATGGGGCAGCTCAGGCAGCCCAGTGGACACAAGGTCTGGGAGCCCTGCTCCCCCCACGCCCTGCTCCCCTCCCTGACGTCAGTGTCCACTGGACCGGGCAGCTGAGGCCAGGCTGTGGGGAAGCAGACGAGTGTGGCTTCAGGCCACCCAAGGCTGGCATCACTCCCCTGACCAGTTCTTAGAGAAGCTGGGTCTTCTGCAGTACAGGGGAGGGAAACCATTGCAAAACATCCTCAGGGTTCCTTTTCAAAGCAATTAAAGCTGAGACACAAAGGAAAGGAACTCAAACTGAACACTCACAGGCATGCAGCCCACTGCAGGGAGGCAGCCCTGATTTCAGGGGTTCCAGAGAAAGGAGCCTCGGCCTGGGCCATTTCTGGAAGGCAGGACAGTATTGCAAAGCCCGCGTCCTGCTAAAAAGATCTATGATGAAATCTAAGCATTCCATTGCGAACACCTATCACCCACTGCTGGCTCTACAAGAAATGCAGATTAGGAAGGAAACCTAGAAACGGATGGGTGGGGAGATAAAAGGATGAATGGATAGGTGGGTGGAAGAAGAACAGAAGGATGGACAGATGAGTGACAGACAGGCAGCGGCTTCGGGGCACTGTGGTCAGGGCTACAAACAGGGTCAGGGTCCCTACAGGTCTTCCTGGAGGGTCACTGTGGGAGCTGGGGGGATGAGGGCCTGCACTGACCTCTTCCAAGTCCAAGGCGAGAAGACAGCGTGGGGGATTCCCCGCGGAGAGCCCGACAGACCTACCTCAGGGGTTTCTCCTCCTTAAAAGACTCCCCAGTTAAGTTAAAGCTAAGGGGACGTTCCTGTGGAATGAAATGGAGAGGGACAGCCCAAGTTCAGGCCGCGGCGGCAGCAAGGGAGCCCCAGGAGGCCGGTCACTCGGAGAGAGAACCGGCGGGGGACGTCGGTCTCCACGGCCACGCCCCTTCTCCGACGTGCCTCCTCCGGCCTCCAGGTTCCCCCGCGAGCCCGACGCCTCGGGCACCCCCCGGGTCCCCCTCAGCCTCCCGGGTCTCCCGTCCGGGACAGCACCCCAAGGACCCCTCCAGGCGTTTAGGGTCCCCGCCTACGACCGAGTCCGCCGAGGCCCAGCAGCCACACAAAGGACCCGGGAAACGCCGGAACGCTTACCTGGCCGCCAGCGTCCGCGCAGCCCGCGCAACCCGCGCCGCCGCCGAGGGAGGGGCTGCCGGGAGGGGCGGGGCCAGGGGCGGGGCCGCGCAGCGCCCACAAAGGGTCGCCGTGGAGCCGGCCGCCCCGCCCGCTGATTGGCCGGGGGCGGGGGCGGGGCCTCAGGTTCAAACCGTGGGCGGGGCCTGGCGCGCGAGTTCCCGCGCGGCCGCGTTGGCCGTTGGGCCCTCGCCCCAGGCCGCCCGGCTCCGGGCGGCTCCCAGGTCTCCGCGCGCGGCCCCAGTGCGCCTGCGCCGTCCTCGCGAGGGGCGGGGCGCGAGATGATTGCGGGGGGGTCTTCTTTTAAAAGCTAACTTTTTAGTGGGAAGGCCCTGGATAGGATACAAAAGCCTCAGTCCATTCAGTCAAGGAGCGTTTCTCGAGTGCAAGCCGGGGGCTCGGTGGTGACGCAGTGAGAAGCCTTCATTCTCCCGTGTCCCATGACGAGTGCCCAGGGGTAGACGCTGGGGCGCCCACCTCGCGGGTAGCGCAAGCCCACGTTGGATGGGGCTCTGCCCACACAGGCCTCGAGGGCTATGGCCGCCTGAGGAGGAAGGAAGGGAATAGAGGGGAGAGCGTCCCGGACGTGAGCGGGTCTGGGTCCAGGTGGGCCGGGTGCAAGGACTGGGGCTTCCTTCCGAGGGAGGCAGGAGACGGCCTCAGGAGACTCGCAACTGGTTATAGGTTGGGGGAATAGAAAGTCCAGTTAGGTCACTGCAGTGACTCCAAAGGTCATAGGTGTGCACGTCAAACGAGGAAAACTAGGGGGAAGTTTGCGGCACCAAAGATTAAATTCCATAATATGCAGATTATCCTACAGCTGGAACAGAGATGAACAGACTGACAGAAAGTGGGTTCAGGGCAAAGAAAATAAGATTCCCTTAACCAGAGGATGAGATAGGGCATCACCAGCTCAATGGACATGAGTTTGAACAAATGCTGGTAGATAGTGAAGGACAGGGAAGACTAGCGTGCTATGAGTCAGAAAATACTGAGCGACTGAACCACAGCCTGATGGAAAACGCTCAGCCTCAGAAGGAAAGCAATGCAAATTAAATCTACACTCGCTTGATGCCAATTTATACTCTCAGATTGACAAAGATCCAGAATGCTGTAAGGAAGGTGATATCTTCCAGAGACTTCAGTCTTACTCAAGCAAAATGTCCAGCATAAAATAAAAAATTAACAGGTATACCAGGACACAAGACCAAAAATGGCAAAAAAAAAATAATAATAACCCAAAACAACAGATAATAAAAATAGACTTGTGGGTGAACCCAGGAATTGCTCTTATGGAGCTATTTAAAAAGAGCAATTGTTGTAGTCCAGAAAATTAAGGAGAACTGGAATCTATGGAAAACACTCAAATGCGAGAAATACCAGTCGTACACAAGACAATGAGGAAGGAACTCTTTTCAACATGTTCAAAGGATGGGGGCTTCCCTAGTGGTCCAGTAGTTAAGACTCCTGTCTTCCACAGTAGGGGGTGACAGTTCAGTTCCTAGTGGGAAAACTAAGATCCCATCCTCACTCTGACGTGCATTGCAAGCTTATGAGTCACCAAGAATATGGAATACCCCTGTAAGTTAATGATTATTCAAGAAAGCAGGTTTGCTTAACCACAAAAACAAGAAAACTTGCTTAACAAAGATGAGACGGGAATCCAAGTTCTTGTTCACGGAGCCAAAGAATGGAATCCACGAACATGAAACATTCACTGTAGCAAACGAATAGGATTTATTAAAGAGGAGGAAAGTACAAAGCTCTCAGCGTAGACACTGAGAAATCTATATGCAGGTCAAAAAGTAACAGTTAGAACCAGATATGGAACAACAGACTGGTTCCAAATTGGGAAAGGAGTACGTCAAGGCTGTATATGGTCATCCTGCTTATTTAACTTATATGCAGAGTACATCATGAGAAACACTGTGCTGGATGAAGCACAAGGTGGAATCAAGATTGCCGGAAGAAATATCAATAACCTTAGATATGCAGATGACATCACCCTTATGGCTGAAAGCGAAGAAGAACTGAAGAGCCTCTTAATGAAAGTAAAAGAGGAGAGTGGAAAAGTTGGCTTAAAGCTCAACATTCAGAAAACTAAGTCATGGCATCTGGTCCCATTACTTCATGGCAAGTAGATGGTGAAACAATGGAAACAGTGACTGACTTTATTTTCTTGGGCTCCAAAATCACTGCAGATGGTACTGCAGCCATAAAATTAAAAGATGCTTGCTCCTTGGAAGAAAAGTTGTGAACAACCTAGACAGCATATTAAAAAGCAGAGACATTACTTTGCCAACAAAGGTCCATCTAGTCAAGGCTATGGTTTTTCCAGTAGTCATGTATGGATGTGAGAGCTTTACCATAAAGAAAGCTGAGCACTGAAGAATTGGTGCTTTTGAACTGTGGTGTTGGAGAAGACTCTTGAAAGTCCCTTGGATTGCAAGGAGATCCAACCAGTCCATCCTAAATGAAATCAGTCCTGAATATTCGTTAGAAGGATGGATGCTGAAGCTGAAATTCCAATCCTTTGGGCACCTGATGAGAACTGACTCATTTGAAAAGACCCTGATGCTGGGAAAAATTGAAGGCAGGACGAGAAGGGGACGACAGAGGATGAGATGGTTCGATGACATCACCGATTTGATGGACACGAGTTTGAGCGAGCTCTGGGAGTTGGTGATGGACAGGGAGGACTGGCATGCTGCAGTCCATGGAGTTGCAAAGAGTCAGACACGACTGAGTGACTGAACTGAAACTGAACTGAGGGACTGAACAACAAAAGCCTGATTAGTTTAATATTTTACCAGGTGACAAACCCTTTGAGCTTTTCAAAGACCTCCTGGAAGAGCCTGGAGTTAGTTCAAGGTGAGAAAGCCTTCATTTAGAACCCAGCTTTTGCAAAGTTTGTCAAAAGGCTTTGGACATTTGCTTAAACTGGACCACAGACTACTAAGAAATGATTATTAATTATCTATTTGACCAAAGTAATGATAAACAATTTCTAAGCCAAATACAAAAAGTTAGGGCTTCCCTGATGGCTCAGATGGTAAAGAATCTGCCTGTAATGCAGGAGACCTGGGTTTGATCTCTGGGTCAGGAAGATCCACTGGAGAAGGGAATGGTTACCCACTCTAGTATTCTTACCTAGAGAATTCCATGGACAGAGGAGCCTGGCAAGCTACAGTCCATGGAGTTGAAAAAGAGTTGGACATGGCTGAGCAACTAACACACTCAAACAGACACAGGGCTTCCCATATGGCTCAGGGGTAAAGAATCCACGTGTCAATGCAGAAGATGCAGGAGATATGGATTTGATCTCTGGGTCTGGAAAGTCCCCTGGAGCAGGAAATGTCAACCCAATCTAGTATTCTTACCTGAAAAAATTCCATGGACAGAGGAGCCTGGTGGGCTACATTCCATGGGGTCACACAGGGTTGGACACAACTGAGTGAGTGAGTGACATGGTTATAAGAAAAATGTATCTCTTTTAATACCAAGATGATTTCATTTTCTTAAGTAATCAAAGATCTGATCAAGACAACCTGAAGCACAGGAAGTAATTTGGGTAAAGCACAATTTTGGTTTTCTAAGCAAATGATTAAAAGGTAAGGAAAAACCTTTCACACTTTCTTATGAGAAGTAGAGAACAATTCAAGAAAACCTAGCCCTTTTAGCATATGAAACTTGTTTTAGTTTTACATAAGTTTTACTGATTTGAAAGCTCATTTTAAAAACCCTTGTAATAGCAATTCAATTTTAGACATCTTGACCACATATAAAGTTACTTTTTTTTCAAATATTCCTTTCCTACAAACTTGGAGCAGCAGCTATGCTGTGCTGGGGCAACTTTGAGGAGATATCCCATGTCCGGTGCCAAAGGAGAAGCCCCAGCAAGATGGTAGGAGGGGCAAATTCACGTTTAGGATGGAACCGCATTCCCAACAGAGACGCTCAGAGAGCTCAAACAAACCTTGTGCGCACCAGGGCCCAGGAGAAAGGAGAAGTAACACCACAAGAGACTGACCCAGACTTGTCTGGCAGTGTCCAGGAGTCTCCAGCAGAGGCGGGGTCGGTGGCGGCCTGCTGCAGGGTTGGGGGCACTGGCTGTAGCAGTGCCTGCATGGGACCTTTTGAAGGAGGTCCCGGTGACTCAGACAGTAAAGCGTCTGCCTACAATGTGGCAGACGCAGGTTCAATCCCTAGGTCAGGAAGATCTCCTGGAGAAGGAAATGGCAACCCACTTCAGTGTTCTTGCCTGGAAAATCTCATGGACCGAGGAGCCTGGTAGGCTTACAGTCCATGGGGTCGCCAAGAGTTGGATTGACTGAGCGACTTCACTTTCATGTTCACCATTATCTTCATTACCTCCACCATAGTTTGGCCCCAGGTAAATAACAGGAAGGGAACACAGCTCCACCCATCAACAGAAAATTGGATGAAAGATTTACTGATTTACTGATGGCCCCGCACATCAGAACAAGACCAAACTACCCCTCAGTCAGTCTCTCCCATCAGGAAGCTCCCATAAGCCTCTTATCCTTATCCATCGGAGGGTGGACAGACTGAAAGCCACAATCACAGAAAACTAACCAATCTGATCACACGGACCACAGCCTTGTCTAATTCAATGAAACTATGAGCCATGCCATGTAGGGCCACCCCAGATGGATGGGTCATGGTGGAGAGTTCTGACAAAACGTGGTCCACTGGAGAAGGGAATGGCAAACCACTTCAGTATTCTTGCCTTGAGAACCCTATGAACAGTATGAAAGGACACTGAAAGATGAACTCCCCAGGTTGATAAGTGCCCAATATGCTGCTGGAGATCAGTGAAGAAGTAACTCCAGAAAGAATGAAGAGACGGAGCCAAAGCAACAACAACGCCCAGTTGTGGATGTGACTGGTGATGGAAGCAAGGTCTGATGCTGTAAAGAGCAATATTGCATAGGAACCTGGAATGTTAGGTCCATGAATCAAGGTAAATTGGAAGTGGCTAAAACAGGAGATGGCAAGAGTGGACATTGACATTTTAGGAATCAGAGAACTAAAATGGACTAGAATGGGTGAATTTAACTCAGATGACCATTGTATCTACTACTGCAAGAATCCCTTAGAAGAAATGGAGTAGCCATCATAGTCAACAAGAGTCTGAAATGCAATGCTTGGGTGCAGTCTCTGAAATGACAGAATGATCTCTATTTGTTTCCAAGGCAAACCATTCAATATCACAGCAATCTAAGTCTATGCCTCAGCCAGTAATGCTGAAGAAGCAAAAGTTG